CTTCATACTTTTTAATCAAAGTACGCTGTTCTTCTGAACAATGTCTGGAACGACCCATTTTACTCAAATTTTCAAAAAGAAATGCTCCATAACTAGCATGTACAACATTGGCTACCTGTTTGACGTCTGTTTTTTCACAGGATGAATGACCTCGCTAATTAAACTCCACACTGTTATTATTTTTGAACACGCCACTTTTAATTAATGATTAATTTACACAGAATCAGCAGCATGCATGTCATGACTGAAATATAATTTCTACCGAAAACAGTGATTGATCTGGTTAGTGATGTTGGACTGCTATTATTTTGAACACAACTGTATATATGACATTATTATTTTTTCTTGGCTAAACATCATATGGGGGGAGGGAACATCTCTGAAATTAAAAAAGAAATGGAGAGAGTGGAGTAAATGCATAGAAACATTCTTTAAAGCTAACACCAATATTCTCCATGAATTATGGGGGGAATATAATAATCTATCCATAACTAAGGCAGAGTTCATTTTGCACATGATAAAACACAGGTATTATTATGATTTTGACCGTGCAGGGCATTACTAAGAACAGTGTTTTATAAATGATCTTTGACCTGTATTACATTACATTACATTTAGCTGACACTTTTATCCAAAGCGACAATAATTGCATCAACCATGAGGGAACAGACCCAGAACAAGAATCAAGTGAGTACAATTTGCTTCAAAAAGCCAAACTACAAAGTGCTACATGTAAGTGCCATATAAGTGCAACAATATATATATATATATATATATATATATTTTTATTATTATTATTATTATTATTTTTTTTTTTTTCTTGGCTACTAGACATCATCATCATCACCAAGGTGTAGTCAGAAAAGACTTGTCTATATTCCGTGGCAGAAGATGTCCTGGTGTCAATGGGGAGCTCATTCCACTATTTTGGAGCCAGGACATCAAACAGTCATGATTTTATGGAGTGGTTAGCTCACAGTGAGGGAGCAGCAAGCTGATTGGCAGATGCAGAGTGGAGTGGACGGGCTGGGGTGTAAGGTAGTTAATCCACAAATGCCAGTATTACAGTAAAAACAATCCAAAAGGACATTATTTGATGTTTGACCTCATGAATTGTATTGTTTTTTTCAAAATAAACACCTGAAATACTGGAAAGAATGCCTAAAAGGGGGGACGGCCTCCAACAATGTCAGACTTCATCTTATTGATGCTACATTTCCAGTGGACTTTGCTGCTCTTTCTATCGATGCCTATAAAGCTTTCGATAGACTAAAATGGAGCCACCTGTGGCTGGTCATGAAGGGATTTTGATTTGGCCCTAAATTCTCTCCATTACGCAAACCCTTTATGGCAAAGCAACAGCATCAGTCCCTTTATGATCCGTCTTGCACCCCCACCTAAATTTTTTGCAGATATGCATTCCCTCATATCGAAGTTTATCTGGCAATAAAAACATACAAGAATCAAACTCACAACCTTACAGATGAGCAAGCCCACTAGAGGCTTAGCTGTCCCAAACCTTAAACTTTACTATAATGCTGTCCAAATAAGAGGATTGCAGGTTTTGAAAAATTGCAAGTCCCTTGGCTAGCTATATAGGCAGCACCGATAAAGCCACACAGACTTGAAGACTTGTATACAGGCACGTGCACAGAAACATTAATTAACCATACGGGAGCATCATAACCAACTCCATAAATTTGTGGAGGATGGGTGAAAAAAGTATATTACTTCAAACTTGCTATGGAATAACTGCAATTTCCGATCAGGTGGACAACCTTTCACCCCCCACTTATTATGAATCAATAAATTCTCTGTAAAGCACTTTGGCATTGTACATGTATGATGCTGCCGTGTGAAGTATTTACTTAATTCTTAATTTCAGCAGCAATAATCAGGAT